TTTCCAGATGAAACGTATGTTTCCCTTCTACAAGGGACACACAAAATCTATCAATTCTTATATCCTATGAGTTGAGGGCAGTCTGCTCATATTCCCAAGCAAAACCTAAAATGTTCACAAACCTCAGTGTTCTTTATATAAAATATTCAAGACAAAAGTAGGGAAATGAATTAATAAACAATGAAATATAGTTGCTGTAGTCTCATGATTTATGTGGGCTGTTCATGAGGTCTTAGATGATAATTATATACTTGTAAAACTATTTTTATTGATTTCAGAAATGAAGGGGGAGGGAGAGCAATAGGAATGTCAATGATGAGAGAGATTGATTGGCTGCCTCCTGCACACCCCTGACAGGGGATCGAACCATGTGCCCTAACCAGGAGTTGAACCATGACCTCCTTGTTCATAGGTTTTCACTCAACAACTGAGCACACTGGCAGGACAATAATTTTACATTCTTTTAGCTACATCTGTGCAAGGTATATCCTATGCTCCATCGATCAGTAACTAGTTTGTATAGTATTCTTTACCTGGTGGTGTATGATCTTGTGATATAAGCCTTTGATTAAATTGCCCTTATTGGGTTGCCTCATTTTTCTATTACTCAGTCTAGTACAGAGGGGGAAACAAATAAACAAACAAACAAAAATACCCTCCAGGTTCCAAAAATAGTTCTGCTTGCCCCCCTCTGTGGCAGCAATCCAATTTCCTGTTGGTAAATAATATCCATCACCTCAACCATTATTGCGGTCTCTTTCTCTGCCAGTACTTTCAACAACTTAAGGAGCTCATAATGGCTGGAGGGTAGACTCATTTTCCAATTAAACAGAGCCTGATTGTGTTCTCTAGTGGAAGTATTTCTCATATGGAAACTAGAACCTTTCTATGTATAAAGCCTGAGGTTATATAGAAAGAAAACAAATATTGCTTCAATGAGTTATTTGCTGAAGAGATTTCACTCTTACTTCCTTCTTCGATTACTGGGCCTGTTCATTTTACCTATAGGAGATTTGATATCACACTTTGGATATTGGTAATCCAGGAGGTTTTTTCCTCCCAAATAGTGCTCAACAGTATTTAGCATATTCTATTTCATCAGGTCAGCTGCTTATAGACACTGAGGACATGAGACCAGGGGATATTTTGGGTGAACCCATGGTCACATTTTTTTTTTTTTTTTTTTTGGCCATAAATTTTCTTCCCTGGTCTGAAGTGAGATTATGCCAAAATCCAAGAAATGTAGGATTGTGTATGTCTACAAATGGTGGTACGGACAGAACTGTGGCCAGAGAAGACAGATTCCAGATCTCTTCCCTGCTGTGAGAAGACATTTTCCTCACAGTGATGAAAGGGTTCCAATAGAATCAGCCTCTCACCAGGTGATCAAGAATGGTGCCCTTTGTGTTTTCTCTTGCTATTGGCAGGTTGGGTGGCCATAATCATATCAACTGTGGTGAGAAGTTCATGTCATCAAATCCATGCATACTCTTCCTCTGAGTTATCCTGGTCTATTAGTATCTCTCCTGCCCATTGAACAACTGGAAAAAAAAAAAAGAGAGAGAGAGACTATAAAAAGGACTGCGTGACGGCTATAGGAGGGATAATTTTGTCAATCTGATTATTGCAGGCTCCTCTGCAGTGGAAACCTTTCTGTAAGATTACATGGGACATTAATATCTATTTTTGCATCCTCTTCAAGGGGATCATTCACATACCTCTCCCATCAGACTTCTTGGTCATTAATTTTTCATTCTTATTCTTTTAAATCTCTTACCAGCTGTCCAGCCTGTTATCTACTGCTCATGGATTAGTGTAGCCATTGCTACGCTAAGCCATTTCTCATTCACAGTGTTCAGTCAAATTTCCTCTCTGAAGTTTTGCCTTGTAAGCAGATTCCCTTCATCCACTGGCTTTCAGGGCCACCCCTGAGTTAGACTTCAAGCAGCTGCTAGCATAGAGGGTAGATTCTTATTTAATGTAGTCTTGCATTGTTTCTTACTTTATTAACTGGTCATAGAACATTCCCCATGGCATTATCGTTGTGAGTGAGAGAGCCAACCCTCAGTGGCCCCACAGAGAGGAACCAGGGAAATAAATAGCTCAAGCTCATTAATCTTCTGTCTCCTAATACTGTCAGTACCTTCCCAACCTAAGTTAAAGGACAAGGGAGTTTGCTTGGTGTGAATATAGAAGTTAGCAACCTAGGATAACATAGAAGTTAGCAGGCTGGATATGATGCAGAATAAGGGCTAAAAAAAAGAAGAGACATTCAACACAGCTACCGTCAACAAAAACATCACATTCCAGCAGCAGGTTTAATTTGATGACTTAAAATACTTTAGGTATTTGATATGATTCATTTTTCTGCTCATATTTAATTTAGTATTATTTTATAATAATTTTAATTGTAGACTTTTATGAATGAGTTTCTTTACTCATAGCAACCAACTGACCAATAGTCGCTTCACATTTTCTGTGACTAATATTATTTAATAAATTTTGAGAATTTTAGATAATTTTTGCAGCTTTATAATAAATAAGATGTTATATTCAGGAATTGTTTTAATAGTATGTTTCTCTTTCCACAGTGACATGTATATTCATTGAATGCAATGCTCTCTCTCTCTTCTCTCTTTTGTGTTTTTTTTTGTGTGTGTGTGTGTGTGTGTGTGATCCAAGTGTTTGTATGTTTGCAGAGTTGATAAATCTTTTCTGAGATGGTATGTCAAATGCTGAGTTTATTATTGTGTATTTAGGAACAATTTATAACGAATGTTGGGTTATGTAAGGGACCTTTGTAAAATGCCCATTATTTCACTTTAATAAAAATATATTGGTTTTTATAGAGAGAGAAGAAAAAAGAGGGAGAAAAGAGAGAAATATTCAGTCGGTTGCCTCCTGCAGGCAATAGACCTGGGATGGAACTTGCAACATAGGTATGTGCCCTGACTGGGAATTAACTGGGGACCTTTCAGTGCCTGGGGCAGGCCACCCTGGCCAGGACCATTGTTTCAGTTTTGATGTCCCCTTCCATAGGGCTTCCCAAAGCATTTTGAAGTGAACATTGGTGGGGTTTTTATTTTGTGATTCCCGCCCCCCAAAGAAGTAATGGGTTTTTGTTTTGTTTGTATTTTGGTAGTGCAAGCAGAGATAGGGGAATGGTGAAATTTCCTAATCAAAGCAGAAACTAAGGTGATTACTAGAGTCATTGCAATTTGGGGACTATTTCTTATACTTTTAATGAGGAGGCTCACTTTTAAATTGATTTAAAGAGAGAGAGGAAGGGGGAGAGAGCGAGGAAACCATTTTTGGATCAGTTGCCTCCTGCAACTCCGTGACCAGAGATTGAACCTGCAACCTGGGCATGTGCCTAGATTAGAAATTGAACCAGCATCCTTTCTGTGCATGAAAACACATCCAACTGGCTGAGCCATACTGGCCAGAGCATGAGTTCATTTTTAATGCAGAAGGAAATAATGTCATATTTCAGCATGATTTTATTACCTTAGTAAACAGTTTATAAATTGGGCCAATTGTTTCCAGGAAACATTTATGACTGTAACATGTGCCAAACAACCTCTTAATATATATAAGGATGGCATTGGCTTTAATAGATGTGTAGAATGTTTTATAAGGATGGCTGTGAAAGTGAAAACTTTTTATACTAATACTAGAGGCCTGGTGGACGAAAATTTGAGCCCTTGGGGGGCTCCCCTCAACCAGGCATGCACCCTCTCATAGTCCGGAACCACTTGTGGGATGTCTGACTGACAGCTTAGGCCTGCTTCCCAGGATTGGGCCTATGCAGGCAGTCAAACATCCCCCTGGTAGCCTGGGAGCCCTCAGGGCAGGTCTGACAAACTCCTGAGGGAGTGGGCCTAAGCCATTAATCGGACATCCTTAGTGCTACCACATTCCAGCAGTAGGTTTAATTTGATGACTTAAAATACTTTATATATTTGATGTAATTCAAATATATAATTACATGTAATCTGCCTGTTTCTGGCAGAGCAGTACTCCCCTTGTGGAAGTGCACTGACCACCAGGGGGCAGCTCCTGAGTTGCATGTCTTCCCTCTGGTGGTCCTTGTGCATCATAGTGACTGGTAGTTCCGGTATTCCACCCTTAGGGTCAATTTGCATATTACCCTTTGATTATATAGAATTATATATGATGTTAAGGTACATATAGACATATGTCTACACCCCTCCCCCCCCACCACCACCATACACCCAGACACATATTGAAACAGGTATTGCATAGCTAGAAGGGATGTTATAGTAGTGATTACTTTGAGGACACTGGAAGAACATTGGCCTGTGTATTGAATACTGAGCCCTTTTAGTAAAACAGCCAAGTCCAGGATATTGCTTTGGGGTCCCAGTTGCAGAGCACAGTCTCCAAATGTCCCTTGATCTTTGCAATTATATGTCACCACCGTGAAAATTATTTTTACTTATTTGAAAATGCTTTCAGGATGGATTCAAATTGCTATGGGGATGAAGTATTGTCTATCTTTCCTGCTTTTACAAAGATTTAATGGTAGTAGTTATGTGAAATACCAAACATTCATAATGGGTCTGCAAATAAATTAATGTTGGTATATTTTCACAAATTTTCTTATTTTGTGCAGCCTGATCTGCTCAGTGCTCAACTTCCTCCCTATTTAGCAAGCATGTTAAAAAAAGAAAAAGTCAGAGAAGGTTTTACTTTTATTATTTTGTATTACATAATTATTAAATGTCGATTAGCCAGGTCATGTTATATATCTAGACCTGAAAGACAACATGCAGCATTGAGTTAACGAATTAAAAATAGATTGTTTCTTTAGTGTTGTGTATGGTTTGTAAGTAAGTAGTGAAAGATTTGAGGATTGTGTTATTGCCAGTATATAAATAATACGATTGAGAATCAAATCCAACACAAGAGTTTATTTACTAGTATTCAGTTCATTATCTATGTTTTTATGTATGCGTGTACCTGTGTGTATCTTACAGCTGTTATTTCAAGAAACCAAGAAGGGCCAGGAGAAATGGGAAAGGCCGTGCTGATTCCTAAAGATGACCAGGAGAAAATGAAAGAACTGTTTAAAATCAATCAGTTTAACCTTATGGCCAGTGATTTGATTGCTCTTAACAGAAGTCTACCGGATGTGAGATTAGAGGGGTGAGTTTATGTGTGCTATATAATCTTACATATCTCAGAATACCTCAGAACTTTATCTGATTCAGATTATTTCTGTTTCAGAAGTTTGTGGTTCAGAATAACTATGCCATAGCCAGATTTTACTGTGCATGCGTACGAGGAGAAATCTGAACTATTTTCTTCCTTGGCAGAACAAAATGTTATTTGAAAAGTAATTGCAGAACACACAGCCTAACAAGTTTTTTTCTTCATGAGATGATTTTTGTCTGCTTTTTCTTTGCTTTATCTTGCTAAAGATAGAGTAAACACGCTCTTTAATAGATTATTTTCTTGCCAGCATATATGACTCTTACACTTTGATTTGAAAAACTATGTGCTTTGCTATTCTAACATAAAGGTAACAAATTGCTTGTATGATTCTTTGACCCTTTAAAAATTATTTATTATGGGCTCCAGCAATTTATGCTGCTGTTTATAATTAGAATACTCAGTTATTGGCCATGGAGGAAATAATTACTTGTATGTGATTAACTTTAAGCCATGCTCTAGCAAGTTGAAGAAACTTTAAATGGATTCATGAAATTAGATGCTTACAGTGTTGTCATTCTAGTATATAGTTCTTATAAAGCAGAGTCTTGGAACTCAGAAAGTTATACCCTGATGCTGGGACTGGTTTGGCTCAGTGGATAAAGCGTTGGCCTGCAGACTGAAAGGTCCTGGGTTCGATTCCGGGCAAGGGCATGTACCTTGGTTGCGGGCACATCCCCAGTACGGGGTGTGCAAGAGGCAGCTGATCTAACTCTCTATCCTTCTCTCTTCCTCTCTGTGAAAAATCAATAAAATATATTTTAAAAAAAAGAAAGTTATACCCTGAAATTTCAGAAAATTTCTAAGTTTACAGGTATGTAGTATGTAAACAGAAATTTTTCTTTTCGGTATGTAATTACTTTTTCTATATACAACAAAATCATAGTTAATGCAAACAAAATTTGCCACATATAATTGGTTATATTATATTAGTAATGTAGTGATGTTAACATCATAATGCTAAATCTTGATATTTTCTCCTTTTTGAATTACATCAGATGAGTTCAAAGTAGAGATGCTGGGGCTGAGTTGCCAAAAGGTTCATTTGGTAGTAGCTAAAATAAGTAGAAAAGAGTGATTTTGTACACTCTTTATGCTTTTCAAATAGCTTTCTCAAAAAACCCACAAATAACTATCAATTATGGGTGCTTTTTAAAAATATATATTTTATTGATTTTTTTACAGAGAGGAAGAGAGAGGGATAGAGAGTTAGAAACATCGATGAGAGAGAATCACTGATCAGCTGCCTCTTGCACACCCCCTACTGGGAATGTGCCCACAATCAAGGTACATGCCCTTGACCAGATTTGAACCCAGGACCTTTCAGTCTGCAGGCCAAAGCTCTATCCACTGAGCCAAACCGGTTTTGGCAATTATGGGTGCTTTTGGTCCTCAGCAAATGGTAAAAACATCAAATATTACATTTATGCCTTAGTAAGGGTTAAATAACTTTATAGGTAGTTTTGTCCATATTTGTATATGTTTGTTGTATTTGAAAAAGCACAAAAATCATATTCTTCTGATTAATTTAATTTGAGCATTTTATATGCTGTTTATAATGTTGCATTTATTATTTTGTTTTATACACCATGCTCCATGACTAAATGTAATACTTAGGCATTCTGAAAACCATGTAAGCACTAGTTCAAATTTTAAAAATCTTTATTTTCAACTATCAGAACACAAATAAATTAAATTTTATATAAGATCTGGGGTGATTCAGGTAAGAATAATTTTAGTATAGAGCCATCCATTTTTTAAAAAAAAGTAAAATCACTCTTGCTGATTTGACTCAGTTCACAGGCCACTGCACTCACCAGCCATGAGCCCAGCTTAGGGCTTCTGGCTGAGCAACGCTGACCACCAGAGGGCAGCTCCTGCATTGAGTGTCTGCCCCCTGGTGGTCAGTGCACATCATAGCAAACAGTTGTGTGGCCTTAACATATCATTAGCATATTATGCTTTAATTGGTTGAATGGCTGACCAGACCACCAGACACGTAACATATTAGGCTTTTATTATATAAGATATCCTTAAACTGGTTCAGTCAAATGCAGAAAATTGTCCAAGTAGTTTAATGTTGTATTTGGCTTTAACATAAATCTACAAATATTTGAAGAAGTTTTTAGAGTGATGAATCGTAAGCAAATACTTCATGTTTTCACAAGGAAGAGTTGAGATAAAAATAGTTCTTCTTAGAGACAATTGTAATTAGACATCAGGACAAGTTGAAGTTAATTTTTGGAATAACCATCTCTTGAGATGCTGAAGTACTTAATATTAATTTACTTATTCGCTTAATATATTTAATTTATTAATATTTAGAATTCATTTATCTATCTATCTATCTATCTATCTAAGCCTAAGTGACTGAATGACCAGGCAGCCAGTCACTGTGGCACACACTGACCACCAGGGGGCAGACACTCAATGCAAGAGCTGCCCCCAATGCTCAGTGTGCTCCCATAGCCAACCTTCTGCAGTCCTTCCCTCTGGCAGGCGGTGGTGGCTGGCCAAGCTGAGGGACCCCACCCATGCACACATTTGTGCACTGGGTCTCTAGTATATAATATTTAGTTATTTGAGGGACATGAAATAATTGTATCACAAGTAATCATGGTACTTGGATAAGTTAAGTTCAGTCAATGTTAAAGGCCTTAACTAAATGTCTTTCTTTAATTGAATACCCTCAGTTTCTAAGATTCCTGTTAAAGTTTGTATATACGTATAAATAAAATTCCAGACAAATGTAATCAATCCTTTCTCTCCTTTGCCCATCCTCTATAAACTAAAAAATTGCAATGTCATGAAATTTTGATTCAGAACTTTGAGAAAAAAAATATGATTAAACATGGATAGGAGACTTGTCTTTGATTGGTGATGGCACTACAATATACAGGTAATGTATTATAGAATTGTATATTTGAAACATATAATTTTATTAATGATATCACCCTAATAAATTTAATAAAAATATAAATTTTTAAATTCAAAAGGCATGATTAACTTAATGTGTTAATGCATCACCTTTAGGGATAATTAGCATATTTCTAATCAATTATGTGTCTATGCCTTTTACACTCATGTAGTTTGGATTTAAAAATAGGGTCTAAATATTTCAGTTTTCAGAAAGCATATAAATATACATCTTAGTTTTTAATGTAAGATTTTTGTATTACTTTTTAGTGAGAGAGGAAAAGAGAGGAAAAAAGAGAGAAATGAAATTACCAAACTAAAGAAACCTATTAAATATTAAATATATTATTTTTGAGTACCTAATATACTAATATTTGCCAAGTACTGATCTATGTGATGGGGAGATAGCAGTGAACAAAATGAAGTCCCTGCTTCATGGAACTTAGAACAAATTCAAGAATAAAGGAAGGTAAGACATAGAGATTAGAGTAATGAGCAAAACCGCTTTGAGAAGCTCACATTTAAGTTGAGTGGATCTTCTGCATTTGAAAATTAGTATTTCATTTTGCTAAGTAATTACTAGGTTCTTGGAACTTATAATGCTAGAAATATAACAGACCTATGGATATATAAAACTACAGAAAAACAATAGAATAAACATTAAGTAATGTATAGATGTATGCATGCATGTATGTATGTGTGTGTGTGTGTTCATACATGTGTGTATTACTTTTTGAAAACAGTATTTAACTTTTATTTCCATGAAAGTCAGCAAAATCACATTTTGCTTTACTAAGGTTTCTGTAGCCAATGTTTTCCTATGCTCTATGCTTTTCTGGAAGCAGAGAAAAGAGTATGATTGTGATCATAATCAATGAGATGGGTACATGACTCTAGTCCATTAAATGCAAAACAAATAAAAGGAACAAAAAGCCAACTCTGGAGACTTTTTTCAAGCAATTAAGCAGAAAATCTTTAGATATTGAACCAAAATATAGAGGTTTAATATCTATGGTTTACTATTGGATCTTGGATAAGTCATTAATTTTCTAAGCCTTATGTAGTTTTCTTTCATTGATTAAACCAACTAATCAAACAATCAACCAATCAACCAATATTTGTTATTTATCTAATACAGGCTTAGCTTTGAGAATAAAAATAAATGGATATATCAGGCTCTGACTGTGAAAATATTAAGAGTATATTTACTGAAAACAATAACTATAGTATTATATGAACAAAGCAATAATTGCAAAAATGACAAAGAATAAGATTGGGCTGAGTTTCTGGAGAAATTTTTATATTTATTATTATTATTATTTATTATTATTATGTGGAATTTTCTTATGCCTTGGGCTCTGGTTTTGGACTAACCATAGTAACTTTTTTAAGCAAGCAACTTCTCCCTTTAGTCTGCAATTTTTTAAATTAAGAAATTACAAATATTTATAGGGCGAATATTTATTTGAAAAAGTTCTGGGGAATTAAAAATTAAAGCAAAATGTTAAGGTTCCTTAGCATTTACTTGTATTCATTTAATAGTACCTCAAGTTCTTGTATTGAATTATTTGAAGGTTATAATTCAGCTGACATTTAAATCTATTTCATCAGGGAAAAATGAGAAAATAGGAAATTTATTTTAGCTATTTATTTTGTAGACCAAAGAACAGCTTCTTATGTATGCACACTTGCAAGCTGATAAGGAGAAAAAAAAAAACCACTAGCAGTCTTGCATTACTGGGGGAGAGGAGCAGTAGCATACAAATTCTGATGAAGTTTCCCTCAATAGCAAAGAGTTTATTTACCATTTAAAATAGAAATAAACCATAGGATACATTTTTCTCTGCTCAATTTCATAAGTGTACCTGTTCATTTACATGGATTGCCTTTATCATGAATTAAAATGCGGTCAAAGTAGTATTGATTGCTCAAAGGAGAAATCGAAAATGAAAATATTAATTGGATTTCTGATCTCTGTTCCACATCTTTTCTTTTTAATTTGAGAATTACTACAACTG